TCTTTGATCCTATTAGCAATTCTTTGTGGCTTGATTCTCATATACCAACTATTCCTAGTTGTAATGTTTTGATTTATGATATTTTTGCCTTATAATGATGCAAAAGTGATAATTGTCTGTGCAAAATGTACTTTGAAGTTTTATCTTTGCCTAGACTAGCAATGTAGTTTACTAGGCTTTCTTGCAATGCTGGGCAGAGGCAGTAAAAACTAACATACCATTGGGAGGAGAGCAAACAAACAACGTTCTACTAAGGGTGTGTGACTATGCTCACATATGCAATAGGTTCAGTGTATCAAATGTATTTCCAACCTAACAATATTTCAACAGAAATGGATTTTTGGGAATATAGTTTAATCTTAAGTTGAAGAACATATGTAGAATATGCCTTATACTTCTGTTTCTGCTACCATTCTAGCCTAAGCAAGTGTCATCTTGCTTTCTGACTATGGCAGTGGCCTCCTCACAAATTTTGTTAATCCTGTCTTTTTTCCTCTACAGAATAAGTAACATATTGCTTGTCAACTCACTTTCATTTGAAGCATATTGAAGCATAGTTTAGTATTCAATTTTTAAAAGTACTTTTGGGGTGGCTGGAGATGGCTCAGTGGTTAAGAGCACTGACTGCTCTACAGGAGAACTAAGGTTCAATTCCCAGCATCCACAGGGCATTGACTTGTAACTACAGTTCCCAGGGATTTGATACCCTATTCAACAGGCACTATAAGCATGCTGTGTACAGATAGATAAAATACCCATGCACATAAAATTAAAAAAAATCTTTTTTTAAAGTACTCTTGGGATCAGTATGCATAGAAGGGGAAAGGAAGCAAGACTGGGCAGACAGAAGTCAAGTGATTATATAGATGTTTTGACAGCCTAGTCCAACCACATCCTGTCCTTTAGAGTTGTGACCTTTTAAAACTATTTATTTATTATGTATACAGTGGTCTTCCTGAATGTATACCTGAATACTAGAAGAGGGACCAGGTCTCACTACAGATGGTTGTGAGCCACCATGTGGTTGCTAGGAATTGAACTCAGGACCTCTGTAAGAGCAGCTAGTGCTCTTAACCTCTGAGCCATCTCTCCAGCCCTTATACTTGTGACCTTTTAGACTTGTACAAAATTAGACAAAGATGAACAGGCCTCTAGGTTCTTACATTAATCATTCATGGATGGCATCCACTCTAGAAGGGTATGACCTCAGATAATAGTGGAATTTTGATAAGGTTAGTCAATGACTTTTGGGGCAACAAACTCTATGGCATGGTCTTTGTCTGCCTACGTGACAATTTATAAGCTGAGAGAAGGGTCTCTCGCTCTCTTCTTCATGAGCTCTCCTTTGGTGATTGGAGCAGAGTAGGTGGCTTGCTGTTGGTGTTCTTGACCCCTGGGCAGAACAACTGGATGAAGGCAGCTGGGTCAGCGGTGGTGTTGAACTTGTTCTGTATCAATGAGTGTTTTTTTTTTTTTTTTTTTTTTTTTTTTATCAATGAGTGTTTACTCCTATTTTATATCTAAATAAATTCTTGAGAACCTTTACCAGACTCTCATGGATTCACTCTACAGATGGTAGCCTTTGGAAGCTGGGGTAGCCCTTGAAGAAATTGTTATCTTATTGGTCAGCAATATCCTCAGCAGTAGAAACAACAGGAATTTGCTCGTGGCATCTGATTAACACAGCATAGGGCCCATTATACCAGTGGTCTCACTAGTGACTTCCCATCTCACTAAGAATACAGCACAAAGTTCTTAATATCTTTCTGTCCTTATCACCTCCAACATTTTTTTTTAAACTAACTCACTAAAGCCATATAAGCCACCTGGTAATATCTTGAACCTCTACACCCATCTCTCCTACTTCTCAGCATTCCCCTCCTGTCTAGACACTTGCTGAAGTACACGACACAGACATTAAATGCATGACATTTCCTGTGACTCTCTTACCCAGATACCTCTAAGGCTGGCTTCTGCACATTACTCAAGTCTCTATTTCAAAGCTTATTTTATTGGATAGGCCTTCTCTCTCCAACCTGTAGCAAACAGCACACAGTTCTTTCACCATGTTGTGCAGCATTTAAATAGTAAATAGTAATCCTCCATGGTACACACACACACACACACACACACACACCCCTACCTGCCTGCTTGCTCGCTCCACTTGAATACATCTCCATGAAACAGCAGAATTTTTTATGCCCCCTAATAATCGTAACAAACATAACAGTACCTTATGGCAATGATTACAATAATCTTTTTCTTACATTCTAAGAGACTGGATATTTTGCTGGACCTCATAGGCAGAGTTAATACACTTTGAGGCCACTTAAGACTTATGACTGCTATCTTACCATGTACTCAGCCTGCTTGTTTAAACTATTTTTAAGAAAACAGTATGAAAAAATCCACCAGCTAATGCATACTTGTAATCTAAAATTATGAACTCTTCTATGCCCCAGTCTATAAAAATGTATGTGTATCATTTGCTGAAAGCAGCTAACACAGAAGTTAAAAAGCAGTATTCTAAAGTGGATATCCACCATAAATGTCGAATAAGCATTTGGATATTGACAGTAAACAATGGTATTTATAGTACTGTTTGTTGCCTGGGTCACTTGGAGCCATGTTTAAACACTTGTAAAACTCTGTTAAAGATTTCTATAAGGTATGTCGTTCTTTCCCCTATGTGCTGCTTTCTGTGGCGTTCAAAAAGATAGACACACAGTTTGAGCACACAGACACACAAACAATAGATACACACACAGATTAGACACACACACACACACACACACACACACACACACACACAGTCAGACAACAGATAGACTCACAGGGACAGACACACAGTCAGACAACACAGATCTAGACACTGGTTCAGGGATATATACAGACACAAATAACAGATACAGATACAGGGGACAGCCTCCAGGCAAGCACAGATTCAGACAGGACAGAACACACAGGAAACAGGAAGCAGAGAATTCAAGTCTGGGCTCACTCTTGGTTAAATGACCCTAAGGGAAAATGCTTTTCATTTCTTCTTTTAATGTGACATGGATGCGTTACTGGTGTTTAATCCATGCCACACCTAGCGCATAGTTGGTGTTCAATTAATGCTTGTTAATTCAGTTACTGCTACTTTGAGGGGCAGAGCAGCATTCTATAGTAAAGAAGAAAGAAGCTGGGTGGTGATAGCACACACCTTTAATTCCAGCACTCAGGAGGCAGAGGGAGGTAGGTCTCTGTGAGTTTGGGGCCAGCCTCATCTACAGAGTGAGTTCCAGGACAGCCAGGGCTGTTACACAGAGAAACACTGTCTCGAAAAACAAAACAAAACAAAAAGAAACAAACAGCAACAACAAAAACCAAACAAAAGAAAAACAAACAAAAAAACCTGAGGCACTGGACTTGAATGCTCTCAGGTATTATTTGTGGTTCAAAATTTAGTTGTGAAATGCTCTCCCTGCATCCAAGTTTCCCCAGTTGTAAACTGTGGGTTTATATAAATATATATTACATAATATATGCATTCATATACATATATGTATATGTCTAAGTAAAATGACATTTCTAAATTATTGTTATGTGTCTATTGCACACTAAGTGTGTGAAAGTTGTTAGCAGAGTGCAGTGTGCAGTGAGTGCTCGTTGTTAGATAAACACATGCATTGACTTATGGTTAGAGTTGTTTTTGATGAGCCTGTGGTTCACTAAATGATACAAAGAATTTACAGTTCACTCTGGAGTTCCCACTAGGTATTGTGAGCAGATAAATCCATTTAAAGGAAAAAAATTGGTTCCTCTCATAGGCTGCCATAACAAAAACTATAAACTGTGCAGTATAAGCATGAGAAATTTACCTGTTGTGGTTTGGAGGTCAAGAAATAGAAAATGGAGGTGGTGGCCTCTGAAAGGTTCCTGGTGTGTTCCCACTTCCAGGTTTCTCGACAGCCACTTCCCCCAACGTCCTTTATCTTCCTTTCCCTGGTACAGGGCAAGGGAAGGAAGAGTTCTCTTCCCTGTTCATGAAGTCATTAATATATTTTAATATAAGACTATTTACCCTTCCAGAAGTCCTATCTCCAAATATAAGCACACTTGAGCCTATAATTGCAACTCATTTTGAAGGGACACAAAACTCAGCCCATAAACTTTCTTTAATGTCAGAAAGTTTCAAAAGCAACAAAAATGTTTGTATGTAATGCTGGTGAATACATTTTCAAAGTCTTAACTTTATACATCGCATTCAAATTATCTGTAAAAAATGCCTTTTAGTAAGAGTTAATAGGAAAATTTCAGTTGAAGAAATCTTGCAGTTTCCTTTGCAAAAAATCATCTTTCCCGGGCATCATTCTGCTCATATGTTTGGCAAATCTGTTTCTATAGTTGATTTTCCCCAACTATGTCTCCAATTGCTGCCATGCTTTCTGTATATAAGGCGTGGAAAGTCAGAATACACAAATTTTAAGCTTTGCTAATCTTTAGGAACATATTTAAAAAGGACCTTTTATTTACACTGAATTTCAGTTGGAGCCACACTAATATGGTTTTTATCTAGTGGTTTTATTTAGTTAATGTTCCTCCCAGGGGGAACAGCAGAGAGAAAAATGGGAAGACAAAAGAGCGGCCGGGGCTGGGCCTGGAGGCGACTGGGGCACCTCTAGGCCAGGTGAGCCACAGGAGGCTCGGGGCAGGGTGGGAGAGTTCGTGCTTTAGCAGCTATCTCCATCGTCATTTCCAGAAAACACTACCCTTGGAGAGCCAGGAGGTACCAGCTCTCTCCAAGTGAATCTCAGAAATGATCACCCCTCGTCGAAAGTAAAGCCAGAATCAAACACCAAAGACAAGCCCCGACAGAGAAACGTCTGAACGGACCCGGAAGACACAGAACTCCCGTCAGCAAATGAGAAGCGGTATTCAATCGGTCCCGTTTCTTAGCCGCCAATCAGATCTCGCCTTACAACGGCGCTGGAGACAGCAGGGCTGGGCTGCTCTCTGTCAGAGGTGCGATTGTCACCCCGCAGGCCAGCTCCTGTAAGTGACTCGCAGTAAGTGCAGTGTTTCTTTGTGTTTGCCGCTTTTCCTCCTCTGCTCATGTAATGCACTCCCTGAACCAAGAAATCAAAGCATTCTCCCGGAATAATCTCAGGAAGCAGTGCACCAGGGTGACCACGCTAACTGGAAAGAAAATTATAGAAAGCTGGAAAGATGCCACTGTTCATGTTGTGGAAGCAGAGCCCAGCGGTGGGGGTGGTTATGGCTATGTGCAGGACCTTAGCTTGGACCTGCAAGTTGGCGTTATTAAGCCCTGGTTGCTTCTGGGTGAGTAGACTGACTTGCCACTGGATTCTTTTGCCATTAGCCTCCTCTGTGCATAATAACCCTTGTGCACAATAATATTGTCAGCTATCCTAATGAAAACTTTCTAAGGTTAGGAACAAAATAGGGACATTCCTGCCACCATGGCATTTATCACTTTGACACCTGATTATTGAATTTTAGAAGAAATGTTCCCTTTATTTGCTAAGTTTCTCAGGAGGATAACAGGGCGTTATGTCTTCTTGTGTTATAAAAAGACTGTGTCCTTAAAAAAAAATAATGCAAAAACGAAGTGATTCCATGGTGGGGTTGAAAGGACATTGAAAGTGTGCTTTCTACATTACTCATGGTGTTTGTCTTTGGTGTGTTGAAAACAAGTCTTCTATTATACAGCTGTGAGACTGATGGTCTCATATCTTGTAATATGGAAATACTGAATTTGTATACAAGCGCCATCCATAAAGAGTAAGAGAAGAAAGCATGTTATCTTGTTGATCTGGTATGGTGTTCTTTAGAAATCAGCATAGGTCTGCATTAATTTACATTTATGAATGAGAAACTAACACTTGGACACAGAACCAGGAGTTACACATACCCACAATAGGAAGTGTTCATAGCATATAATTCTTATAAAGATCTCCAAGAAGGGATTGTTTCCATGTTACAAATGGGGACTGGGCTTTAAGATTGGGTAAGTAATTTGCACAGGTAACAGACTCAATAAATAGCAGAGTTAGGCATCAAGTACAAGTCTGACTGGCTCTTACCCTCTATCATTATATTCTGTTGTTTGCAGTTAGACTTACATTAGGTAGTGCAGTTCTTTTATTCTCTCTAGACCTCCAAAAATAATCTGCTCAAAATATTTTTAGTTGATTTATTTTATGTACATGTATTGTGTGTATGTATACATGTCCACCATGTGCAAATGTGGTAATCTCAGAAACCAGAAGAGGTTATCAGATTCCCTCGAAATGGAGTTATAGATGGTTGTGCTGAGAATCAAAACCAGGTCCCTGGCAAGAACAACAAGTGCTCTCACCCACTGGTCCATCTTGCCAGCCCCCAAACCATCTGCTTTAAATGAAGAAGCATCCTATAAGGTTGTTCTGGTCTTGACAAAACTCAAACAGTGTAAATTATTGTTATACCATGTATCTTAAGAATTGTCATAAACACTATCTTTAAATTGATTGAATGGATAAGGCCAGATAGTTTTTGCAGTTCAGAGAAAAATATTATAACTTAAGTGAATTAATTGGCTGAGTATGATGGTTCAGATCTTGTTTTCAGATCTTGTTCACTGTATCCAAGAATGATAATATTTATATGAGTACTTTTCAGTATTTGACCTCCTGAAGCTTTTTCTGACCTCCATAGTCATTCAGACACTCTGTCTTTGTCCTTTGTCTCTGTCTCTTCCTCCCCCCTTCTCACCCGTTCTCTCTCTCTCTCTTTCTCTCTCTCTCTCTCTTACACACAATAAATAAAAATAAAGTAAAATGTAAGTGGATAAATAAATACATTAAATTAGCTGCAATGATAGCTGTTTCAGAAGCCAAGGCAGGATGATAACTAGTTCAAAGCCTGCCTGGGCTACAGAGTGAGGGCAGCTTGAGCAGCATAATGAGACAGCAATAGAGTACTTGCCTCAACACCATAAACACACAGTGTTTATGTCAATGCTGTTATAATTTGGAAGTCATTTAGAACATACACCAACTGTTTCTAAAATAAAATTAACCTGACCCATCTGTTTCAGGTTTAGAGTTGAGAGGGGAAAAAGAGAAGGAAAGAAAGAGGGAGGGAAGGAGAGAGAGAGAGAGAGAGAGAGAGAGAGAGAGATTGATTACCAAGGCAGTTAGTGTGCTTGCAGTGAAAGTATGAAAAGGGAAGAATTTCATTTAAGCCATGTTGTAGTTTTTACTATTTTAAAATACAAGCAGAAATAACAAAATAACTAGTTAAAAGATGGTGTGTTCACTAAACTATTAAATTAAAATGAACTTATCTGAACACGATCCCCAAACCCAACATGATTATAGTTAAAAACTGAGAATTATGTTTTAGTCATGAAGTATTTCAAACTGGCAGAAAGTTACAGAAAGAAGAGAAAACAGACCATTTCTGAACCCACCATCTATATTTACAAAATGCCCATATTTTGGAAGTCCAGTTTCCAAGTAGGAAGAAGCAGAATGTGTGTTTAGTAAGGAACCTCTCAGCTTGGATCCACTGTGTACTTGTGGGTCCTGCAATCATGTGAGGAAAGCTGACTGAGTCCTCAGATATGGATGGGGAGGGGGAAATGTTGTTTATGGAAATGGAACCACAGGAAAGTAAAATTCTTGAACTCCATTATAAATGTCCTGTTTGATCATTTGTGAAACTTGCTCTGTGCCAACTGGCCATTCTCAGATTAGAATTTGAGTATAAACATTTCCCTGTGTGGGAGAGTAGAGAGCTGTCTTTAGCAGAGAGAGACTGTGAAAGGCACACACCAGTGGTATACAGTGTGTGGGTGGGAGCCCGTGGACCTCAAAGCTACTGAGTGTTCCCTCTCCAGCTGGCCTGAACTTAATGCTGTGGGTGTCTGACTTTCTTAATACCCCCTTTTCTCTTATAAAAGAAAGAGGTGTTTGTTGTAAATAATAAAATTCATATAACAAAAAAATCACCTATAACCCCTGCATTTAATGTTTTGTTCCATGTACTTCCTGTTTTTAAGTATATACATACATTTTTTTAAATTGTATATTTCACACCATGCCTGGATTACATGTGGGTTTTAGGGATCTGACTCAGGTTCTGTGTTAGAAAGTACTTTACCCACTGAGTTATCTTCCAAGCCCTTGTAGCATGGTTTTATTTCCTTACATACTGAGAATATGTGTCCCATGCCTTACCCATTTTATTTCTGGTGGTACATATTGCTGTACAGGTTTCACTATGTAATTGTACCATCTTTTATTTATCTCAGCACCTATGTTGGACTTGGAGTTGTTTGGCTTGCTGGTTTTGTTTTTCTGTGTTATATGTTGAACATCTTTAGAGGTAATCACCAAAACATCTATAATTTAGTATAAATTATTCAAAATAGGGAAGTCCATAGATAGATAGAGGAAAGATAAATTTTCATGGTGAATATTACCAAATTTCCCTTCCAAAAATTGAACTGACATCCTCCCACATTGATTGCCCCCAGTGTTATGAAAATTCAGAGTGATTGTATTTGTGTTGAAAATAGATGATTTATTTCCTCAGGGTCGCAGGATGCTGCTCATGATCTGGAGCTCCTGAGAAAACACAAGGTAAATGAAGTAAGCAGATGTTTCATGTCTGACACTACATACAAGAAGACGTCCATTCTTCCATTACCTGTGAAAAATTGTATTGCCCTAATTTTGCATAATTCAGTTTAATTTGTATCACTTGGGCTGTTGTTTTAACAGTATTGCCAAAATAATTGCACCTGCTTTAAATATACAGATCTGTAGTCCAACTTTACAGTTTCACGTTCTTCTCAGATTCCTTCACTCAACCTCATGAACTTGACCCTGAGAGCACACCTTCCCTACCTCTGCTTAGGCAGTTCTGTATGGGACAGGCTTTCCCTCATGTCTGCTTGTCAAAGTTCCACCCATTCTTGAGTGCCAGTGCATATACCAGCCTCCCCTAGCATTGCTTCTTACTAACTCCCTGACACTTGTGGATCAGATGATGAGCTGTCAGTTACTGCTCTAGCATGGTCCCTGGCTGGCTACTGCCATGCTTCCTGCCATGATAATCATGAACTAACCTTCTGAAACTGCAAGCAAGCCTCCAGTTAAATGCTTTCTTTTAAGAGTTGCCTTGGTCGCTTCAAGGCAGTAGAGCAGCAAATAAGAAATTGGTAAGCCGTATTTCAGAAGGCTGAGAAGTAGAGGGGCAATGAGGAAGTGGTGGCAAGAGAAGAGGCGATGGATGGATGGAGCTTAGAAAGTGTCGAGTATGTTTTAAGGCCAATTTGAGGGTGGGGGTGAACAGAAAATTAAGGAAAGTCACTACAGAAATGTTCAGAAGTAGCAGTGTGGTTCCAGGCACACATACCAGGAAGGAAGCTCTAAAGGATGCAGTAATGTATCGTTTATTGAAATCAGGCAGAAAGAAAGGAGGGTTTCTGGCATAGGTAAAATGGTGAGAGCTGATGGGGAGATGTGCAGGTTGCTATGCGACAGTTTTAGATAAGAGCATCTTCTCTAAAAGAATCAAACAAGGCATCGGGGTAGGGTACCCCGAGTGAGCTGATTTCTCTGAGAGTTCAACATTTCACTGGGGCCTCATGGCAACCAACAATGGCACAGATGTTAGGCCAAGAGAATAGCTACATACAACTGCCCCCACACATGGGGTTGGGGGTGGGGTTGTGGCAAGTGGCACACTGATTAATCTCTTCCTCCCATTGGGGTCTACTTGGTTACTCTCTTAGCTCTCACCACTTATGTTATTACCACCAAGACTTTGAGAAGATAAAGACTTTATTCTTTTTATGTTTGTCATCTACAGCTCTGAGGAAAGAATTGATTGAATTATGAATAAAGAACATTATGTGACAGTGGTAAACAAAAATGTTATGTGATAAATACTTGCAGTTAGTTCCCAAAGGAAAATAACAAATAATGAACTCCTTAGCTAGTCTGACAGCATCGCTTGTTACTTTGCTGATCCATATTTAATCTGGCTTCTGTTAATCCCATATCACTTACCAGGAGCCTTCTCACATCAATAGTTAACAAAGCTAGAGAAAGTTCCAGTCTCATTTCCACTATTAAATTAGTATTATTTAGGGTAAATACAAAGTCCTCAGTGAATGATTCTTACTATCACTTATAAAGAGCAACCTGTCCCAAGACCATCAACGAACAGTTCTCTCACTGAGTGGTAGAGGCAGGCTTTCTTTTTTTTTTTTTTTTTTGGCTGAACCACGTAGATTTTGTTTCAAAATTTTAAAGATGGACTTCAATATTGTCTATATATTATTTAGACCTTTTTTGTATAATATGGTCACATTTAATAAGATTTCTTTACTTTTTTTTAGTTTTTTTAAAATTATTTATTTATTTATTTTATATAACCAAGTCCATTTAAATGAAAACAAACATTTATAGACAATATTTGGGAATTTGGGCATTGTTCTTTCCAAACTACTTCCTGCTGGTAAGGGGCCCTGTCATGGGGGATTGGAAGAAGATTCAGAAATCCTGGCTGTAATCTGTCAGGCTGCTTTGTCCAGCTGTTCTGAATGTAGGATCACCTGGTACTCTGTTTCAGGTGCTCTGGCTTGATCAAACCACATTAGTCTGGAAGGAATCCACATCTTTTCATTTTCTGTTGAAACAAAAATAGAAATCCTTTTCCCCAGTAACTTGTCCTTGAACTTAAATTTTGGAGTCAAAGCATTTTTTTTAATTTAATTTATTATTTTACATGTCGATCCCAGTTCCCTCTCCCTCCATCCCTTCCTCCCTCCCTCCCTCCCTCTTTCCCTCCCTTTTACCCTCTCTGCCCTCTCACATGCACTTTAACCACCCTCCACTCCCATCCCCCCACCCCAATTCCATATATAGGGGAATGCCATCCAGTTGGGGTCATGTAGGTCTGACAGGTCATGTGAAGTAGGGACTAGGGCTTCTCTCCTGTCTCTAGATTAAGGCAGTTATCCCTCCATGGGGGATGTGTTTGCAAAGTCCTTTTGTGCACCAGGGATACATCCTGGCTCCACTGTCTGAGGTCCCTTAGACTGCTCAGTCCTTCTGGCTGAGACCCATATTCAGGAGGGGCTGAGTCAGTCCCATGCTGGGTTCCCAGCTATCATTCTGGTGGCCCTTAGCTCCTTCTTGTTCAGGTAAGCTGTCTGTATGTGTTTCTGCAGCCTGGTCTTGTCCACTCCATCTGCATCTGAGTTCTACTTCGACTCAGTGTTTATGTATGGGTGTTTGATTCTGTTTCCAACAGGCATTAGTTGAGGGCTCCATGGATAAGTCCCAAGGCCATCTACGAACAGTTCTCTCACTGAGTGGTAGAGGCAGGCTTTCTTTAAAAAAAAAAAAAAAAAAAAAAAAAAAAAGCCTTTCCTGGGTCCTTTCATAAGCCACACCACACATAGGCACCTGTGGTTCACTGCAATAGAAAACCAAACTAAACCAAATAAACAAACAAACAAAACCACTGAAGTTTTTGTGTGAGTATTCTGCTAAGTAATTTCTGCTAAGGTCATTATTCACCATTGTTCACTCAGTTCTTATGATAGTAAGTTCAACCTGGCCTGTATTTCCATGGTATTTCTAGTGCAGGGAGGGAGGTGATCTCTAAGGAGTAGGAATACAACAGAAGGGCCATGAATGCATTATAAAAGAGCGTGGTTGTTGTGGGATGAGGCAGAAGAGATGTATCATTCAGTGAGTTGTTAGAATTTTCATTATTCTTATTCCAGAAGTTAACATTGCATTCTGTTTTTAGATCATCTAAATCACAGAACTTAAAAATTATCTTTTTTTTTTCTTTTCTCTAAGGTGACTCATATTCTCAATGTTGCATATGGAGTTGAAAATGCTTTCCTCAGTGAGTTTACATATAAGACCATTTCTATATTGGATGTGCCTGAAACCAATATCCTGACTTATTTTCCAGAATGTTTTGAGTTTATTGAGCAAGCAAAACTGAAGGTGAGTTTTGTTTTGATACAGTTCTTCAGGAGTAGAAATTGGAAAACAGGAAACCATCACCCTCTCTCTGTATATTGTAATGAATTTGTAAAGAACCATTGTGAAAATTTCCATCCACTAATACTCATGAAATCCTTCAGGTTTTTGGTGCTCTGATTGCTTTTTTCCTTAGTGAGGAATTTACTTTTCATACTTATTTAGTTTTGTTTCTTCTGAGTTCTTACCAGGAAACACTAGGAGATAAACTCCCTCCATTACTGAGTTTTCCTGTGCAAATATGTAGCTGACTATTCTCTGAGGCTGTACCAGCTCCTACATCCTGAGTGATTTGTAAGAGACCAGATGGACCAAAGGGTACAGTCTGCTCTAGTCTTGTCAGTGGATTCATGATGATGAATATTCATTCATTTGAATGACTGAGGCAGAGATTTCATAGCTGTGTAATTAAAATTTTACTTATTTCTTCATGACTCAGGGTCTCATGGAGCTTAGGTGAAGCCTCGAACTTGCTATGTAGCCAAGGATGATCTTTAACTTTTTATTTTCCTGCCTCTGCTACCCTTGCTCTGGACTTACAGGTGTGCATTACCATAGAACCTGGGGCTTTGTTTTTGCTAAGCAAGTACTCTCTCAGCTGAGCTATATCTCTGACTTGCATTTTGTACCATAGAATTTTAAGGCAGAATGCAAATTGCTGTACTGAGATTAAATGAAATCCTAATTAGAAACTATCTTCTGGTTTTGAGACTTTAGAATACCAACATAAGATAGTACTTTCTATTTTTTGTTTATTTTGTTTTGTTTTGTTTTGTTTTGGAGACAGGGTTTCTTTATAGCTTTGGAGCCTGGCCTGGGACTCAGTAGACCAGGCTGGCTTTGAACTCACAGAGATCCACCTGTCTCTGCCTCCTGAGTGTTGAGATTAAAGGCATACACCACCACTGCCTGGCTTGCATCACCATGTTCGGTCTACAAGATATTATTTCAACATTAACTTCGATCTATGCCAACATCCTGACAGGCAGGACTTCTGGAATGGCTATTACCTAAAGTTGTATCTTGAAATGGTGGTTTTTGTCAATAAGTAATTCTGTTTTACGTTTTAATTGTAGTTAAGTTTGTAGTTTTCAAATTAATTCCTCTAGTTATTATATATAATGGACTACATATACATTTTTGATACAGAAGCATATCAGAGAATTCACTTATAGACTTGTTTATAGCAGTGATATCAGATCTCCAAGAAGGGTGGTGGGTGTGGCTTATACAATAATCTCTTCCCCCAAGAACTACTCAGGAGTCCCATGGGAACTCTGCAACTAGGAGTATATCCCTTCCAGAGTCCTACCATCTCCTAACCTCACAACATGAATCCAAGCTTCAAAACCATAAGCTTCTAGGGGAACATGCTCAACCTGTGTCCAAACCACAGCACCATGTCTGGGCAGTCATGAGTGCTGTCTCAGTGACCTGGGCTACAGAAGCTTGCTATAAGACATCGGCATGAGGAGGTTACATGTGAATCTTGCTTCACTGATTGTCAGAGTCTGACTATCTCCCCCCCCCAAAAAAAATGGATGCATTTCATTATTTTATTTTACTTTATTTTTAATATTTATTTTTTTTCTTTGAGAATTTTACACATGGATACAATGTATTTTAATCATACACTAATCCCTCCCACATCCCCTTCTCAAATTCATGTTCTCTTTCTTTTTACTTTTTTAAATAACTCACTGAGTTTAATTAGTGCTACCCATATACACATGGGCATGGGGCATCTACTGGAGCGTGGTCAACCTACCAGAGACCACACTTATAAAGAAAACTGACTCTTCCCTACCCTAGCACCTGTTGACTGTCAATAGCTCCTCACTCAGGGGTAAGACATTCGCAAGAATGTTATGGAGGCTGGAAGGTCAGTTTAGTCATTAAGAGTACTTTTTCCTGCAGAGGATTCAGATTCATTTCCCAGTACCCACATGGCAACTCATAACAATCTGTACATCTATAACTAGAGTTCCAGGGAATCTATCTTAGTTAGGATTTCTATTGTTGTGACAAAACAACATGACACCTCCCCCCCCCAAATAAAGCAGATTGGGAAGGAAAGGGTTTATTTGGCTTACACTTCCATATCTGTTCATCAAAGGAAGTCAGAACAAGAACTCAAACAGGGCAGGATCCTAGAGACAGGAGCGGATACAAAGGCTATGGAGGGGTGCTGGGTACTGCTTACTGACTTGCTCATCATGGCTTGCTCAGCCTGCTTTCTTATAGAATTCAGGACCACCATCCCAGGAATGGCACAACCCACAATGGGCTAGGCCCTCCTCCATCAATCACTAATTAAGACAATTCCTTACAGCTGGATATTATGGAGGTATTTTCTCAATTGAGGTTACCTCCTTTCAGACAGTTCAAGTTGACATAAGACTAGCCAGCACACACTCTAATACCTTATTCTGACTTCTGAGGGTACTGCATAGACAAGGCGAACATACATACACATAAAAGGAAAAGCAGTTATACAAAATAGTGAAAGAAAAATATTAACATTTTAAAACAGGTAAAATTAAGATCTGGAGATTTGTTTTGAACTAAGTAATATATATTAGTAGTTTTCAAGTTGTGGTAATATAATTTTTAAACACTTTAAGTCTAAAAAATTTAACTGATAGGTGGTGACTCAAATCTTTAATCCCAGCACTTAGAGACAGAAACAAATGGATCTCTATGAGTTCAAAGTCAGCCTGATTTACAGAGCAAGCTCCAGGATAGCCATGGCTACACAGAAAAAAAGGAAAAAAAAAAAAAAAAAAAAAAACTGTCTCTAAAAGCAAAACAAAACAAGCTGTTGGTACAAAATGAAAAAAAAAAAAAAAAAAAAAAAAGGTTGAGGCAGGAAGACTGAGAAGTACCAGATGAGTTTAGAACCACCCTGGGCTACTTAGTGAGAACCTATCTTAAAACAAAAAGTTAAGGGGGGGTGGAAATAAAGTGCTTCTCTGGTGTGTGAAGAGCTATAGATTTAATTATTTGTACTGCAAAATGCAGAAGAAACAAAATGAGAGAGGCTGGAGAGATGGCCCACCATTTAAGAGCACTCACTCCTGGAGGACCCAAGTTAGTTTCCAGTACCAGGGCAGCTCACACTGTAACTCCAGCTCCAGGGGATGGGACGCCTTCTTCTGGTCTCCATGGGCACCTACACTCATGTGCATAAACCCACACACATACACAACCCTGCCCACATATATACTTTTTAAAAATAAAAATTTTCTTATTTAATTTATTATTTTACATGTCCATCCCAGTTCACTCTCCCTCCCTCCTTCCCTCCCTTCTTCCCTCCCTTTTACCCTCTCTACCCTCTCACATGCACCCTAACCACCCTCCCCTCCCATCCCCCCACCCCAATTCCATATGTAGGGGAATGCCATCCAGTTGGGGTCATGTAGATCTGACAGGTCATGTGAAGTAGGGACTAGGGCTTCTCTCCTGTCTCTAGATTAAGGCAGTTATCCCTCCATGGGGGATGTGTTTGCAAGGTCCTTTTGTGCACCAAGGATACATCCTGGCTCCACTGTCTGAGGTCCCTTAGACTGCTCAGTCCTTCTGGCTGAGACCCACATTCAGGGAGCCCTGAGTTAGTCCCCTGCTGGCTTCCCAGTTTTTTTAAAAAGTGGGAAAATTTCCTCATGTATAGCTGTATATAGTGAATATTATTTTCCTTTCCTTGCGTAGAAACAAAGCTCAAAAATAAATCATAGGCACCTGTAAGAAAGCAGACTTGATGTGAGATATTTCAAAATATTTTTTGTTGCCAATCATTCTTGAAAAGAGATACAATTGCAGATTCGATAGAGTGGATCAAGAGAGTAATTTTATCACAGATACAAAGATATGAAGGAGCTGCCTTGGAAACCTAAAATAGTCAAATGGCCCATAACATCAGTAACATAATGTGTGTTGGGGTGCAGGGGTGGGGGGAAGGGGCTAGGATTTCTAGTAATATGGTCCCCTCCTGACCCTTTCCTGTGTTGCACCAGATGAAGAATGGAGAAAAGAAGTTGCTGAAGTGTTTAATTCTGTGGTGTGTGCTCCATTCAGTACAGACCATTAACTTTTTAAGAGCCTGCAATAGGCCAAGGTGTATCACTGTTGATCCATCTGATCTATTGAATTCATAATTAATGCAATATTGCCCAAACCAGCATCCATGCTGCATTGTGTCCATTTCACTTGTAAAGTATCATTTACGAGTTACCTGAGAAGTTTTTCATGTGTTGACTTCTCTGCTGGTATATCATTACGTTTTCCATTTCAGGATGTTATAAGTTGTTCATTCCATCATTTACTAACTGGTCAGTTAAGAATATTTTTAATCTACTTCCTTACAGAATAATAGTCCCAACAGCATCATTTTTTTCCTTGCCAATGATTTTGTACATAGATATCTTAGCCATGGACACCAGTTATTTATATATATGTGCTGGAAAGTTGCTAAGTTTTTGTGTGTATTTGGCTAGACCACTGGGTCCTGTAAAAAATGCCTTTTGAGAATTCCATCCACATTATCAGAAAGTATTTCAGTCCTGGGGAAGAGCAGGTGTTAGATTATTTTTTTCTCCCTCTTCTTTGGCAGTGATATTTATTCTGTGGAATAAACAGACAAGATGAATTATTCACTTTATAGTTTTGAGTCTGCTAAGAATGTGCAATTGATTTAATTACCTTTCTCAGGTGAATAACGTGAATTTCATTTGCTGTCATTTCAGGATGGTGTGGTTCTCGTGCACTGTAATGCAGGGGTTTCTAGGGCTGCTGCAATTGTCATCGGCTTCCTGATGAGTTCTGAAGAAATTGAATTCACCAATGCTTTGTCACTGGTGAAAGACGCAAGGCCATCCATATGTCCGAATCCTGGCTTCATAGAACAGCTTCGCACCTACCAAGTGGGCAAAGAGAACAATGGAGTTGGCCAAGTGCCCTTAGTGGAAAGGGGCCATGGTCCCTGATCTGTCCTCTGTCAGAGACAGACAGATAGTTTCTGCGTCTGTTCTGTTTTGGAGAGAAAACTTGTAAACCTCCTCTTTCCTTTTTGTCTTTTACCAGTGAAAATGGAAGTTACTTTTATCTCCCTGAATTAGTATATTAATACATTTTTAAGTTTTACCTTCTCTTTGTTATTGCAACCTCTGGTTAAGTATTTATTTGGGTTACTAAGAGACAAGAGTGTATTATCAAATCACTAAATCACTGATATGTGTAGGAGAAATTTTAAACCTAAATATCTTTTTTAGAGATAGAAAAGCAGTCAACGAGGCCTTTTAATTTACTCTTTTCCCACACATGATTTCATGAACAAAAATCTTTTGTTGTGGTAGGTTTACTAAGTGAAGGCTTACCATTTCAAAAGGAAGTAAAAAAAATTTTTACAAAGAATATTTTTAAAGTTAGAACATAATATCTCTAGCCTCCCCCAAAGAGTACCAGAATCAAAAGGCTTATATTAACATCTATGTAATGGTTATAAATTCTTTAAATCCTCTTAAGAAAACCAAATTTTCATTTTGGCTTTTAAATTTGGTCCTATTAGAAGCATTTTTTGTTGTTCTTTAATGGATTGCATAGATGCATTATATTATAATTTTATGATTTTTTAATTAGGTGTTATCACTTACACTCTGTTCTTTTTAACTTGGGTCTAAGTGTTCTATTTATGAGTCACCTGCCATATATTTTTGTCTCCTGGGATCCCTAAAAACTGCCTTATAGTGAGAGATAATTTTTAAAGATGAGATGTAATCTTAAGATTGATTTATTTTATATTTCAGTATTCTGCTAGAAAAATTTTTTTAGGAAAGGTAGAGTTATAAAACTATAAAAATTTTAAATATTGTTAGGATGCTTAACATTATGCAATTTTTCTCCTGGAAGAACACTTTTTTCTTTAATGCTTCCCTGTTAATGAAACTGAAGTATGTTCATTATAAATTTGCTTTATGGCTTTGAGTTTGTGGCAGGAGATTGCAGATCAAGTGGTAGAGTCCACGCTCAATTTGCAAGAAGGCCCTGACTAACATCATAAGCAACACACACACACACACACACACACACACACACACACACACACACACAGAGAGAGAGAGAGAGAGAGAGAGAGATCTTTTAAATTTTTTATGTAAGGACATACTGCAAATTTTAACTTTATCTAGTTATGAGGGAATTCTTTTATGCCTTTTGAGTGGCATTTGTGATAAGTTTTAAAACATAAGTGGGAGTTAACTGAGGGTGAGTGGGTTGTAGCAGATTTTTCAGAATTGAGTCAGGAATATATGTAAAAGCCAAAGACTGAGGAGGAGCATGAAACACTGGAGTAATGGAAGGAAGTGAGAGATGTGGGAGCAGTGAGGAGGAGGGCATGAATGTGGACAGATCAAGTGAGATCAAGATCAAGTGAGACCTGGTAGAGAGCTTTGGGACGTTTGTCTTTCAGAGTAGTGGATTCAAGGTTATAAAGATTAAAAGGTTGAAATCACAACTTGCTTAGAATGTTATGCTATTTTACTTTCATTTTATGTAAATAGGTATTTTATCTGTGTACCATGTGCATGCTATGTGTATAGGTATTTTATCTGTGTCCATGTGCATGCAGTGTTCATGGAGGCCAGAAGAGGGCATTGGATCTGTGGGACTAGAATTTCAAACAGCTGTGAGCTGCTCTATGTGGGTGCTAAGAACTGAACCCAGGTCTTCTGCAAGAGCAGCCAGCTCTTTTAACCACTGAACCATTTCTCTGGCTTTAAAAATGATACTTCATTTATTTGAGACAGGATCTACCAGCTGAGCCATACCCCTGTCTTCAGAATGTTGTTGTAAATGGCCAGTCTGCTTGTATTGCCTAGAGTGAGTTGGAAGCAAAAGCAAGGCAAGTAAGGAGGGTAGGTCCAAGGTTCAAGAAGTGAAACTAGATTTAGTTGATGCAGTCAAGATGGGAAGAAGTGGCAGCTGAAGAGATGGCCCATGGTTAAGAGAACCTACTGCTCTGTCAGAGGACCAGAGTTTGGTTCCCAGAACAAATATCAGGTAACTCACAAAAGTCTGTTAACTGCAGCTCCAGCTCCAAGACACATGACACCTTTGGCTACTGCAGGTGCCTGCATACACATGCACACAGCCACATATAAACACACACCTACATATAATCAAAATAATATAAGTGAATCTTATAAAAAGGAAATAAATGGGTACTTTGAAAATGTATTTAGCAACTAGGTCTTATAAGCCTTGGCATTGAATTTTGTTGAAGAGAGGAGTTTTCAAAAAAAGAAAAGAGGAATTTTCAGAATCATCCTAAGGTTTCCAGCTTTAATAATTAGAGAACTGGAGATGCCATTCTTTGGGATAAATATTCATTCCTAAGTTGCCGTTTTATATTTAATTTGAAGTATCCTCAAGATATCCAAGTCAAATGGGTATGCAAGAGGGTAACTTGATGAGACATTTGGTTACTAGTGTGAATTTGCAGTAGGAATGGATAGCATCACACAATGAGAGTTTAGAGTGAAACTAAGGGTATAAAACGGGTTTGGAAGTACAACCACATTTTAAGACTGGATGAAGGATGAGTCAAGAAAAGAAATATGGTCAGAGAGAGAAGAGAGCAACCAGAGCACACTAACTAAGGAAAGCATCAACGTGCATGGTAAATAAGAACAAATGATGCTAAGAAATTCCATACAATAAATATGTACTGAGGGCAACTGGCCTTAGCATCATGGAAGTTATTGTTGACCTTGGAAAGATCGGTTTGATAGAGTAAGTGAGAGAAGCCAGATTCGTTTATTAAATATTATGTGATATGTTGAATATTTTGGGGTGAATAAACCAGTGTATTCCATAAAAGGTTGACACTATACTTTCTACAATTTAGATGAATAGAATAAATTCTAAAATTACTAGTGCTCCATAATTATTAACTATTTGAAGTCCAGAATTGAACCAGTCTTCAAGAAAATACCTGTTCATTAAATAAAAAGAATTACCAGGCAAAGAATAATTGCTTTAAGCTGGGCACTGGTGGTGCAGGCCCTCAATCCCAGCACTTGGAAGGCAGTGGCAAGTGGATCTCTGTGAGTTCGAAGCCAGCCTTATCTACAGGGCGAGTTCCAGGACAGGATCCAAAAACAGTACAGAGAAACCCTGTCTGCAAAAACCAATAGTAATAATAATAATGATAATAATAATAATAGCAGTAATAATAATAATAATCTTTAAAAATTAAAAAAGAATTAATTGCTTTATTGATTTTTCACATAGGTGGAGACAAAAATGTGTGATTTTTGGATAACTTACTATTTGGGCTTGTTTATCTTGTTTGTTTTTTGTTTTTTTGAAACAAGGTTTCTCCTAGCTGCCCTGAAACTCTGTAGACCAGACTGGCTTCAAACTCACAGGAATTTGCCTGCTTCCTCCTACTAAGTGCTGGGATTAAAGGCATTTGCCACTACTGTCCAGCTGGGTTTGTTTATTTTTTAAAAAAAAATTTTTTAGAGAAAAATCCCAAACACAATTATAGAAACTAGCACACTTGTCACCAGCATTCTTGTTTACTGTCAGTCCTCTACTCCCTCCTGAACATGTCATCTCAAGGTAAATTGCAAACACGATTCTTTCAAGAATCGAGACCACCCTCCATCCCTGAAAATTGTCTCTTTTGCCTGCTGTAACTTCCCTAGATCATTATAATATCTAATTAAACCTAACTAGTATTTGAATACAGGATAAGGAGACAAATTTGCACACGAAAGTTACTTAAGTTTGGAAATTTCTCTTCATTTTCAAAAGACAGAAGGAGACATTTAGCTGGTTAAAAATGAACAGGAAAATCAGCCAAGCTCATGTTGCATTTGATGTCTAGCTGTGTCTTTTCTGTCAGTTTTTCTCTATAATGACTTCATCAGCAAGCCCTCATGTTTCTGTGTGTTGTCATATATTTAAAGACGTTTAGAGATACTGCTGCTGTTACTGTTTGTAGTGCTCAACAAATGCAGGACCTACTGTAGGCGTGTATTTTTGTTGAGATGTTTCTTATACTTTAAATCCTGAAGCTGTTTTGGAGATCATTTGACCTGGCCTCCTGGGAAGTCATGTGGGTCCTTTATGTGACGTCACAGTCTAAGTGAATGACAGCTCATGATATATCTGCTGCTGAAGGCAGAGATGACAAGCACAGGCATGATGTTTCCTCCCTTTGCTCTCTGTCTGAAGAAGATAAATTCCATCTTTTTTCTAAAGTCTTACAAAAGGTGGATATCTTTTTACTTTGACTTTTAACTTTAAAATTATTTTTAATTATGTGCATGTGTGTGGGGCAGGGGTAACTGTAAATGCCTCTGGCCTCAGATTCCCCTGGAGCTTGAACTGTAGGTGGCTGAAATCTGCCTGGTGTGGGTGCTGGGAACTGAACTCTGGTCTTTTAGAAGAGTAGTACATGTTCTTAACCACTGAGCCATCTCTCTAGCCTCTACTTGATTTTTGTTGTTTTGTTTTGTTTTTTGAGACAGGTTTTTCTGTGTAACAGCCCTAGCTGTCTTTGAATTAGCTCTGTAGACCAGGCTGGCCTTAAACTCACAAAGATTCACCTTCCTCTGCCTCCCAAATGCTGGGATTAAAGGCATTTGCCACTGCCTGGCTGTTTGATTTTTAAAAACTACAATTTTACAGAATAGACAAAGTTATCTTAAGAGTGCTCAATTGGTTTTATATTTGTATATAGCTATGTTAATAGAGATTTAACTAAGTTGATGAATTACTAGTATATATGATAGATATACAAATGTTTGTGGCTGTATCAACTGAATAAATGTAAAGTCCAAGATATTATTTATTTCTGAATTTTCAAAATTTGTTTGAGTTTAGAAGAAAAGTTCAAATATATCCAACCATGAATTAATTTTCAGATTGAATTCTCCATAGACCAAGATTCTGACCTGTATTTCCTGTACTGTTAAGTGGGCAAGAGCCTTGAGTTGGTCTAGCTTGAACTTTTCCTTTATTTTTCCATAACTAGATCAGTATTCTTGTGTTACTCAGACTTGTG